AATTTTATTAAATATTTCGGTGTAAGTGGAAAATTAAAAGGGGAGCAAATACTTTGCCTTTCAATATATAAATGGTAAATATCGCTCGTGTAAAGGTCATACTCGTTCATTCAACTATCGCGTATGTCGCTTTATATCGTCGACATCAATTATGTGTAAACATTAGATTAATTGGACTCGTGTTCTGTGTCACGGATCAAATATCCATTCTTCTCCTAACATAAATTGTCTCGTTCACGTTTCGCGTTATAATATAGCACAAATAAAATATTGTTATACTCTGAGATGATTGAATATAATCGATCGTATGGATGACGATAAACTTTTCTTTGTAGGTGTTAAAAGATGTACAAAGCGAATTGCTCGCGTACAGTAATACACGGGTCAGTATTTTAGAGCTGAGCCATAGATCGAACGAATTCAAAAATATCGTCGAAGATGCACAGGCAACGTTACGGGACATACTGTAAGTCGCTAATGAGAGAAGATAACGGAAGTATTCTTTATTTCCTTTCGAAATAATGGATTTGCAGATAATGGAAAAATTCTTAATTTCCTTTCGAAGTAATGGAAAAATTCTTTATTTCCTTTCGAAATAATAGACTTCAATTAACGAGCTTCAGTTCAAATAAAAAATCTCCATCAATGAGTTTATAGCATATTTCCACGTTTTTCCACGAAAATTAACGGGTTGTTTGAAATTTTCCAGAAACGTCCCCGACAATTATAAAATTTTATTTATGCAAGGGGGTGGAACAGGAATTTTCGCCGCGGTTCCTCTGAACATGATGACAACTGGTACCGCTGATTACATCGTGACTGGTAAATTTTGCATACATTAAAAAATACATAAAATTCCACGAAAAAAACAAAAAGGAAAAAAAATACAATTAAGACTATCTCTCGTATTTTAACGCAAAACAAATTTTCGAGGTTCTTGGTCGGCGAAAGCAGCGAAAGAAGCAGCTAAGTATGGTAAAGTGAACATGGTTCTTCCAAAAATAACGAAATACACGGAAATTCCTGATCCGTCAACATGGAACTTGGATTCAAACGCGTCTTACGTTTACTATTGCGCCAACGAAACGGTTCATGGTAATTAAACCACGATAAAATAAGATCGAGACAATTGATCTGATCGTAGACAATGAAATATCACGTTGTATTTAAGGAATCGAGTTCAATTACATTCCCGAAACGAATGGAGTACCACTAGTTGGCGATATGTCGTCAAACATACTCTCAAGACCTGTAGATATTTCGAAAGTACGTTGTTTAATCTCGACAAATGTCAAGCGTGACAAAACGACGAATCGAATAAACCTGCAAATAACATGTTGCCTAGTTTGCAGTAATATTCGCTGGAGCACAGAAAAACATCGGTCCGGCTGGTGTTACTTTGGTGATTGTACGAGACGACGTTCTTGGTCATGCTATGAAAGTCTGTCCGACAGTGCTCGATTTCACGGTTATGGCAGTTGATAACTCGTTGCACAATACACCGCCAGTATTTCAGTAAGCATCGCTGATAAAAAAAAAACAGAAATGCTTAAAACACGTTCGCTACCAAGCGTCACATATTTCTGTATGTAATCCATCATAGATAATTGCACAGTTTGAGTATTTAATGAATGGTGTGTGTACAAGTGCAGACATTTGTCGTTCTATGTTAAACTGATAGAAATATAGATATTGAGTATGTAAGTGAAAATGACTAATAAATCAACAGAATCGTGGTAGCGAACGTGTTTATGACTAACAAGGGAACTTCGGTAACTCGAAAATTCCGATTTTTCTTTTAAACTTTGGTTTGCCTCAAGAGAAGTATCGGAGAATTTTTTTTGTTTGTATTAATTTTTAGAATATACGTAGTTGGTTTAGTTTTCAAATGGATCAAAGAGCACGGTAGCGTTGAGGGAATGGAGAAATTGGCACTTGTGAAGAGTCAAATGGTGTACGACGTGATTAACGAGTCGAAAGGTTTCTATTCGTGTCCAGTTAAATCAGATGCGAGGAGCAGAATGAACGTGCCATTTAGAATAGGCAAAGACGACGAGGAACTTGAGAAAGAGTTCCTTTCTGGCGCGAGTGCTCGCGGAATGCTTCAGTTAAAGGGGCACAGGTCAGTGTAACTTGAAAGATGATGGAAAAAACGATAGGGAAACACTTTTGAATTAAATGTGAAATAATTTGATTACAGGTCGGTAGGTGGAATTCGAGTGTCACTGTATAACGCTATTACCCTTGATGAGGTAGAGATATTGGTAGAATACATGAAATGGTTCTATCAGAAACATTCTAACAATTAGGAGAACTGTAATATAGTTTTTTTTTTTTTTGGAAATATTAATTTGTTAAAAATAATTTGTATATATGTAAGAGGTTCATAATATTTTTACATAATTTGTAAGCCATTTATACATTTTATAAAATTTGTCCAATATTAGTAAAAGAAACATTTAATGATAATATTCATTGTCTTTTTAAGCATCACTTATTTAGCACCATACTTTGCTTAACATTTTCAATACATGTTCAATTTTTCATATGTGTAATTGTTCTATTTGAAAGTTATTGTTTAATTAAACAGTAACATTAGGACATCAATGGTTTTTTACATGCACAATGGTATCTCTCTTGGGATATCCTTTCTGCAAATATTAGATCTAGCTGCCTTTCTAGAGAAAAATTAGTTTTGCGACATCCATCAATTACAGCTTTGGACCACTATTATTATTTTTTATAAATTTGTTTATTAGATTCAACAAGTTTTTTTTGTAAATTAGTATCAAATTTTTTTTGTTTCCTGTAAATTACCTTGAAGTATTCTTTTACCCTATCTTGTGACCAGCCAACTGGTATGGCTCTTTGAAGGTCTCGCAAATTGTATAATTTATCAGCTAGTGTAACCAACTTAGCTTTATAACTTTTCTTAGGGGCATTCTTTATTTGTAATTTCTTTCTCTCTTGTTTTGCTAAACTTTTGTCATCAGTTACTTCCCTAACAATATTACAAACCTCAGTGCCAAACTCATTTTCAATTTCTTCAAATGTAGTTGCTGTATCTTCTACAGTATCATGTAAAAGTGCTGCCACAATTGTAACAGGATCATGAATTTGGCCTTCCTGGATCAAAATATTTGCAACACCTAGAAAGATATTTTCACTTGACACTTTAAAGTTGCAATTAATTTATTATACTGTTTCTTTTTATTACTTGATTATAAAACAAATTTTTTTGTAACTACAAACCTATTGGGTGATTTATATATGGTGTTTCTTCTTCATCCAACCTTCGCTGATCCTTATGTTTTATCGCGGCAAAATTGACGCACTTAATTATTGTAAATATCAATTCGTCGTTATTTAATTCTCTGGTACATAGGTTACAAGATCCGACCACAGTAAATGGGTTATAATTAACAGATGGTATAGAGACATTACTTTCCATAACTAATTTATTATGTTATGTTACGTGTTATCACCTCGTCTTGTGTAATTCAAAATAAAGGAATCATTGATATTGATATTAAAAATAATAACGGTGTACACTGTTTAACGTTGTCGATAAATTTTAGCATACAAAAAAAGTTTCTAAAAATTATATAAATTATGTTTATTGAAATAAGTCTATTCATGCAAAAATAAGTCCATTTGTTCGCTAATATTGCAATGAGAGAAAAAATGGAAAATAATTATACCCAAGTTATTCTGAATGCACAAATTGTGTTTTGGTTAGATCAGCTGATGTTACTTTCAAATATTGATAATAGAGGAGCGAAGGTTTCAGAGGATGATGCATACAAAACATAACCTAAAAGTTGAGAATTGAATTTTGTCGTTAGAGTGTAATTTATTTTTTAAAATGTCACTTAAAAGAAAATTAACGCAAGATGACTTGCGTAAAGCTATGAATGAACATAAGAAGAAATTAGGTGCAGTGAAAAAAATTGAATCACCGTTAGCTAAATATCCTTTTTCATACGTTTTGACATATTTAAGGTTAAGGTTTCCCTATTTTTTTTCTTTACTTTTTACATTATATTTTTTTATTAATTTTTAAAGCTAGTATATAAATGCACTTTCGTTAGTATTTAATATTCTAAGATTAAGAAAAATTGAGTGCATTTTCTGCATATCCATTATTTGAAGAAAATTACATTTTTGTAAAATCCTTAACCATGGTAAACACATATACAGATGCAGGACAGCTTATGTGCATTTTATGCAACATTATCATACGTAGTGAGGCAGTTTGGCCAGTACACTTAAATTCAAAATCACACAAGGAAAGTATTGCACTAGCAAAAAAGACAAAGTTGGAAACAGATACTTCAAAAGTTCAGACATTCAAAAGACCTTCATCCCCTTCACAAGAAGCATCAGCAAATAAAAAGATAAAGGGTATATTAAAAAATTCAACAACACAATCTGCACAAGTACTGTCAAATTTACCACCAGACTTCTTTGATAATTCTTCTAAACCATCTAATGGTACAATACCATTAAGCACTTCTGTGATAGTAAAAGTGTCAGAGAATGATAAAGAACTTGTACATGAGAAAGATGTGAAAAGTACAGAAAATGAGGAGGAGAAAGAGAAAGAAAAAAGCAAAGACATAACTCAACCAGCTCTTCCAGAAGGATTTTTTGACGATCCAATTTTAGATGCTAAAGTAAGGATATTACACGAAGAATGTCTATCTAATAAAGGAATAATAAATTGCATACTTTTCATGGAATTTTTAGGTCCGTAATGTTGAATATAAAAATCCTATAGAAGAAGAATGGGAGAAGTTCCAAAAAGAGATCAAAGAGGAGACTGCACAGTCTGCACAAATTATTGCAGATGATCAAGAAGAAGCAACAACAGAAAGACAATTAGATGAAATAGAGGAACAAATCAGGCATTGGTCTAGGTAACTTGGAATTTGATCATTTTAGTTAAGATCTACAGATCAGGGTAATTTAGATCAGGTTAGTTAAATAAAACATGATTTTAACAGAGTAATGGATCTAGTAAAACGTAAGGAACAAGTGCAAGCGACAGACAGGAAGCAAAAGAATGCGGACGAGGATGTTTCTAGCGGAGACGAGGCTGAATTCGACGAATTTCTCGATTGGAGAGCCAAAAATTCATACAAATAGGAATAAATATTTTTTAATGTACAGTATTTATGGTTTTGTAAATATTTGAAAGTATTACACTTTCAGACTATTCTATGTTTAGAGCATTGTTATATTAATTGACCTTTCCTATAATATTCCGAGTATCCTTTGTATAGAAGAAAACAAGGGGTAAAAAAAAAAAGGAAATAATTCATAGAGGAGGATCTTCTTTTCTATTCTTCCCAGAAACCCTTTTGCATACAGTTGAAGGAAGGAAAGAAAACAGAACATCTCGTACAGTGTATTAAGATTTTATTAAAACGAATTCGAAGAGTCAGAATATAATTAAGTTTCAAATACAATTGTTATAGATTATTAATTCATCTGTTACAAGCTATAATATGAAATGTATAATATAAAGGTTACAAGGTAGGCTAAGCCGCTAGTAAAATAGTGTGGGTAGTATATATTGCCAAAAGTTCAACGATATATCCACTTTCGTTACATACCTGACATTATAAAATATTGAAAATTGAAAAATGAGAGACTCGCATCGTACTCGTTTTTACCCGCACCCATCCACACGTTGTTAAACTAAGAAACTCTATTTCTGTTATACCTCGCTAATGAAAAAGTTTCTCGCGTGAGTTCATCTAAGTCTGCATCGAGAACGATATAGGGTACTTAATAATCTCGGGGAAAGTTTACATTCCCTCTGGTTAGATTCCAATTGCTGTCTAGAAATCCTGCATTTGAAATATTTTACTCTTACAGTGTTTTACAATGTAGCACGTAATCGTATAGAACTTAATTCTTACCCCTTACGCGATTCTTTAAATCGAAGCGAGAGCTACATTTCAATACGAATATATCGTGTATATGTATATGTATATATATATATATTTATTTATCTAAATCGAATCACAATATTTCACCGCGTTAACCGTCCTACGATCGGTGTGTCGAACATTAAACGAGACGGATCATTGAATTTTAAGCACAAAAATGCATTCATCAGACGAAACCTCTACGCTTGTCCTTATATAGTAATAATTCCTACAAGAAGCTCGAACGTGCGTATAACACGCTACGTAGTCCCTTAAAAAAGCAAGCGGTGTTTTTTTTTCTTTCTTGGTGATTACAATAATTCGTTACGTTATACATGTATATATATATATTACTAACGTGTTGAGAAGGAAACAGGGATACATATGGATCTATCACGATATTCAATCGAAAATGACAATTTGTGCTGGAGATTCGGAGAAAAAGGGTTACGTAGGCGAGGTTTCAGTGTTAACAAGAAACTTTTACAAAATCATTCGTGTAGGTGAAAGATCGTTTTCTAAAGGACGATTTTTGTTTTATACCACATATACAACTCTATTGTAATGTATATAAGTTCGACAAACACACTGACGAAGATAGCTTCCTCGCGCGGATCGACGATCTTTCATCTCGATCGCTCTTAATCACCGGGATTATTCGGGACTTCGTCGACATAATGGTATTGTCTAATTTTGATTTCGGGACGTTTCCATCGTTGTCAGCGAGAATTGTCGGGTATTCCTGTTCGTGTTGAGTCTTCCGGTTTTTTCGAGGGGTGTCCTGTATCCTATCGAGCCCGATCGACAAACGTCGATCGAATCCCCACAGAGATATGAAAAGTAGTGGTCACTTGAATTTCTTACAAGATAGTTTTTACCCATTTCACACATCTGTGTATGTACTTGGTGTGTCGTCGCAGAGAGTTTCGGTGGAAATGAAAAATCGATTCCAAAGGCTGGTACCACGGGAACGAAGAGTAATCCAAACACTTCCCCATATTTGGATTACCGTATCGTCCATCCGTGTCTCTTCGAGCTCTGTCCGAAACAGAACGGCAGATCTTCGAGGATTCTCCTTCGATCAACAATCGATCCAAGATCGCAAGAAATTGTACGAATAATCTTCGCTCGTCGTAATAATTTCTCTTGCGTTCTTCTGTATCTTTCAAGCTTGATATAGATCTGCTTCGAAGTTGCTTTTGTAGTTGATGTAACGAGACTGTACACAGTTCTCTGATAAACTAGTAAAATTCTTAAAGAAACGAGGATTTAGAATGATCTAGAATAGAGTAGAGCAGGGACGGATCAACTGAATATCTATTCCTTCGTTTAAGTAAAACCGTAGATATACTATAAAGGAGAACAAACACGAAGGAAGAAGAATAGAACGTTAAAAATGGGAAAATAAGACGAGATAGAATTGTCTCTCTTGGCTCTATTTTCGTATTGTTGTCGACGTTATCCGAGAATCTCGATTCTATTTCCTTTTCTCTCTCTCTCTCTCTCTTTTTTTCTATGTTGAGAACGTTCTCTATTTAGATCAGAGACGCGATATGAAGGTGTCTAAGTTACAAGTTTAGATGGTGTCCATCGCTTAACGAGAAGGAGATATTTTGTTTTACAAAAATGTGAGCGAGTGTCTTTGATACTGGATAAAGACGAGGCACCCTGCTTGTTTCTTCGTTAATATTCTTTGTGCTTGGTTATCATATTAAAGGGTGGAGGGAAAACTAACGACTCGGAGAAAAAAGCATCCTTAAATCTTAGTTACGCTCTCTCTAAAAGTCGTTTCTTTTTCTTCTCTTTCTTCTTTTCATAAACGGTTACTCTAAGAATCTCTTACAAGCGAACGATTACTTTCCACAGCTGAGTTATTATAAATCGAAGATTGTGTTTCTCTGGTACAAAGTGTTTCGTGTTCGTGATACAAAGAACGCGATTATTACATCGAGTCTCGTTTACTTAATTAATATACCAGGACCACGGTTGGGGATGTTCCTATCCGGAAACGGAAACCTTCCCCGAATTTCGTTTGCGGATCAGATCGATCCCCGTCACGTTGTCCTAACCTAGAAAATTACTTAACCTTAATTACAACATTCGCTCGTCTCTCGTGTTCACAAACGCACCTGTGTATCATTTTCTTTATTTCTCCTATTTTTTTGTAATTTTTTCATGTTTTTCTCTCTCTCTCTTTCTCTCTCTAATTTCACTCTCTCTCTCTTTCAGATCCTCCTGCTCACATCCGCTCGAAAATTCAAATCTCACTCGACCACATCCACGCAAGAAACCGATAACTATCGTGATCATGTGAAACAATAAATGCCTCTCAGGACAGCGTCGTCGTAATCGTTAAAAAGATGCTCCTAAATTGGTTAAGTCGCTTACGGCGAGGGTGCTATACAGAATGGATCATCAATGGGTGCAGAAGATAGAGTATTTAATTAGGTGCGGGACGATAACAGCTAAGCGAGTCGCTTACACGATGTAAATATCTATGAATTATCCTCCGGTAAGTATCGATAATAATCGTGATAATAATCATGGTAATAATAATCGGAGATAATAACAATGACGGTAGCAAGAAGAATCTGTTAGCTGTACGTTGCACATAGATCACAGAGTGGATACAGTCACTAGGCATTCCAAAAGTAATCTACAAATAGTGCAAATAGTGCGAAGCCTAGTATCATGTATGTATGTATATATGTATATATATATAATTTGTTCTTCTCTTGTACTGGTATATATATATATATACGTATCTATATATTTAATTAATCTCACCTTTTTTGTTTTTTTTTTTTTTTTAAATGTAAACGCTATAATATACGCGAGAGCGCAGGCACTAAATTGCTGAGATACAATCGTACCGGACTATCGATGATTCTCTCATTACTTATACCAAAGAAAAAAGTGATTTCGATGTGTGTGTACGTGTATCTGTGTGTAGATGTAAGGTTACGTTTGCCTTATGTGTAGTTTATTGTTTCGGTGTAATGTAGAATGTAACCTTTTATAGATCGACGTTCTAGCTTTCTGATATAAGATCTTGTGCGATTAATTAAGGTAAATACAGTATCGTACAAACGTGTTCAATGCGTCTGTTGGTCATGTTCTATCTATTCTGGTTGATGAAATCTTTCCAGCCGATTTGTTACATTTACGTTACCCTTTTATTAATCCCACCGCTTCGTGAATATGTAATACACACCGGGTAAAAATTCGATCGATCGATATATGCATATACGTATGTATATCGAAGATTCGAACACGTGAAATTGCTGCTGTTACGGCTCCCTCTTATGGGGGGGAGAACAGTTACATCGTGTTTCTACGGTTCTTTCTAGCTGTGTGTATTGTCGATCGTTTGGAATTTATCTTTCTTCTCCATCAGCAACGATAAAGTTTGTTTCACAGGCAGACTAAGAAGGGATGTCAAGTAAGAAACATTAGCTGTAGTTCGTAAGCGCGAGAAAGTAAATCTCCTCGGACGCTCGATCGTCAAGCGATAAGGGTCGGACGAATTAATCGATCGCGGGTGAACGGTGTATATAACCTCTACGAGGAGCACGCGGTGATGAAAAACCGACGAGAGCTTGTAACACGTGTACATGTATACATACGTAAGTGTCTCGTTGCCTATCGCACGAAACAGTACGTTGTAAGTTCTTGTCAGTCCTTACTAAAACGTGTATTATCGCGAAACAGATAGCTTTACTCGATGGTACATCGAATTTATTCCCGCGGTTTAAATTGGTGTCGTTACGCGCGCGGCAACGTAACGTGATACTCCTACACGATGTCGGTTTTCAAACACTTTTCGTCTGGTCCCATTCATGTTGGCTTTTCTCGTTTAAAACCTCGGTTTCGCTGGCATCAACTATCGGTGCTTCGTCGTCGATATCGATCTCTCGAGTTTTCTTTCTTTTTTTCTCTGATTTCTATCTTTCTCTCGTCCTCGACGATGAAACTGCGTAGTTCACTTTTTCCCCGCAGTAGCGCTCCGATTCCATCGTTCCGTTCGTAACACGTATCGATTCTTATTTTTGCTTCTCATTTTTTTTTTTTGTATCAGACCAGCTGACGATTTTGATAATATTTACGGTAATGCAGCTAGTACACCGCGGAGTTCTATCTTTTAACTCTAGTCGATCTTACAGACATCTCTTTTTGTCTATTGAATGACAGATGAAAGGCTATCCTTTTAGGTTAGGGGATCCAACGTAGTGTCAGTGCCTCAGTGTTTGTACCTCGCGTTGAGAAATCGAGTGATTCGAAGCGTTGAAAAAGAAGAAACGTTCAAGAGACAGACAGATAGAGACTGCTAGAGGTAAAAGACAGAACGCGACGGATTTTGAAAATTATCTCTCGCGGACGATCGAGATCTGATCGTCCGGTTTGATTGTTTGATCCGCGATCGTCATCGGTGGATCACCCGTTGTCGGCGTTTGTCTATAAAACGATTGTTTGCACTTAGAAAGATCGATCAACGAGTGTATATTGATTCGATATATAGTGTTGTTTATAAAATATGAGACGTGTTTTTAGCTTGAAGCGATGAACCGCATTTAGCGAAGTGACCATTCAGTGGTGAAACGTACGCTATCGTCGTTTGGTCCAGAAAAAAACATCGCGAACCGGTACAAAGTTCCAAGTTCTTTCCTCTGAATAACAGAAGAAGCAGGAGCTTTGCGCCTCGCGATTTTTTTTTTTGTATTGACCCGTCTGCAACGCGAATTGATAGCAAACGAACAGATCGAAGACGAAGAAATTGTGCCTCACGTGTAATATAATGATTCGTAAGACTAAGCATTCATTTTTTTTTTGGTATCGTAGAAAAAGGTTACGTTTTTCTTCGTGTTTTTTTCTGCTTTCTTTTTTACTTTTCTTAAATGCAACAAAATCTAGAAACGACCTATGAGATTTGTAACGTTCAGAATCTCTCGCAGAATCTCGAACATCTCACACGCTTTATTCGTGCCGTGGTTATACGCAACAGTTTATCGAAATCACAAGTTTAAAGACGTTCACTTTGATCTTCCATAACGGACCTAACCTCTTTCTTTTCTCCCGACGTAAAAATTGAAACGATGATTATCACGTGTACCGTAGAATCGTAAACACCGTTCTTCTTCATCATTGTCTTCACGTTGAACGTTAATTTAATCGTTAATAATAATCGTAGCAGTAATAAGAATAATAATAATAATGGATGGCCGTAGGCGGTTCAGAAATGCACGTGTAAGTAGACCCGTGGGAAAAAAGTTTCTTTTTTTTTCTTTTTCTCTTTGCTTGTACCGAAAAAGAAGCAGCAGACGTAAAAGACAAACGAGCGAAATATATCTTCGTTTGTCGATTAGAAAAAGGAGAAAAAGATTGTTACGAAGAATGGTAGAATTTGTACGTGTTTTTTTTTCTTTCTTTTTTTTTTTCTTTTAAAGAGGACTGCTAGAAGACGGTCTTTCATGTTCGCTAAGGTCTTCGTGACCGTCGTTGAAGGATAAATACGTTCTCGTTCAATTTGTTCGATCTACGCCTTCGCTTCGAGAATCTCCACGGTGACGTTTTCCAGAACGGTTTCCGTCATGTTGCTCGGCTGATTCGGTGGGGATTTGTTCGATTTCGTCGAGACCGCCGACGCGTTCCCGCTGCTTCCACGACTCCCGCGTCGCGATCCTGCTCGTGAACCTGGCGACAGAGATTTTCTTGCTAAAGTATCGCGTGCTTTGTCGCGACCGTATGCCTCTGACGTGACACGAAAAGCCGAAAAATAAGATTGAAGTATGAAGAGCGCCGCTCCGAGGGAAAAATGTCGGCGCGGCTTCTTCGTTGCGTTTGTGAAAGATTTACAATGGCGGTCGTGAATTCGAACGAAACACTCGAACAGGACATTCGAGTTTGACAGTTTTATTTATTTTTACACGTGAAGCGTAACGCGCGTCAAAAGTTGGACGTATTTTTCAAATACGTTGTACATGTTTTGTTGCGAAAGAAATAGCGAGGTTATAAAATTTCTCACGTATCAAAGTACAAAAATAGAAACAAAATAATTACTTAGATATTCATTGTCAGTGAAATATTCCGTATTTGTAGGATTCTTTGTTAAAAGTGAAACGAAACGTGGAGAGTGGTAGAAATAATCGGTGAGAAAAGTAGATATTTACAGAATCCGACCGCCACTGTGTGCACGTGCATGCAATCGTCTAACTCTAAAAGTGCTCGAGAACTCGAACTGTAAAGGTGGCTTGAAGTGAAACTCGACGATCGATTTCACCGACAATGGATCCTCAATGACGGAAATGGCGGAGCTTTGGCGTTCGCGGGCAGGCGAAACGAACCGATTCGCCGAAAGCCTCCCTTTAACCATTTCCAGTGAAGTCGATCGATAATCTATCTTACCGTGTAACCGGGATGCATTTCTTCAATGCGATCCGGTCTCTTGTAAAACTACTTCAGAACTCCGTGCGATAATGGAAATGCACGCGTATACTATCATCGATTCTCGTCGTCGTAACTCGCGTATCACACTATTCGCTAGTTTGATTACACTACGCGGAGGAAATAAAAAATCTCTTGGAAAAAAGTTCACGGTCTGATATAATCGTATATCGATTATACATAGAAGTTTTCTTTGAAAATTTTTCAAACATCAGGAAATATACAAATTTCTGTTTAAACATTAAGTCCGAATATTTTCTTATTCCCTCCCCCAAATTTGAACTGCCATGTTAGTTTTTGAACATTACTTCTCTGCGCCTTATTTAATCGAGTCAAATAAATTATGCTAAATTGTTACCGGTATCGAACCGCGATCTCTACGACAGAATCATCGTCATACGCAAGCAACGATCTTTTACTGTAGCAAGCAACTATAGTCGTGATCCTCGAGAACGCTAGAAATATAGTATAGAGAGAGGAGACTCGGGTCTAGTTTTTCTGTGTTATTTTTCGTGTGTAAAAGAACTCACACAGTCAACTTCTAGGCTCGAAGTTCTGACGTATCCGAAAGAGGGTAAGTAACCATGTATACAAAAAGGGCTATGTACAAAATACACACATATGTATATATACTCTGCGATTACCACAGTTAAAATTAATCTGACAAAATGTATATATAAATATATATGTATATGTATATACATATAAACAAAGAAGAAGAAGAAAAAAAAAAGACGAAGAAACGAACTCGTAAGAATACGAAACTTACCCTCTTCGAAGGACGCGTCAATTTGAAAAGTTTTTTACAATAGAGCACCTCATAGGTCCACAGTACATGATAATCAAGAACAACGGTCACAGACGGGATCATTAAACAGACTACTGCTATAGATGGTCGACTGCAAAGAGAGTCAAATCCATTAAAATAGAGGAACATGATTATGGCGTGTTAAGATGCATCGTTCTGGCGCGACACTTTGTAAGGGTACATTCGTATCGTCCTTTTTGCAATCATTTCTTACAAAACGATCAAATACAAATCTTTATCTTCAAACCGTTTAACCCCTTGACTTTTTCTGTCTACTACAGTTTCAGAATGAAAAAAAAAAGAAACATGTATCAGACACTGATTTCTAATATATGTATGTATATATATATATCGAATCACTGAAGGGATGTTTCAGAATAGAGTTGTTCATCGACTAGCCAAAGGGTTATCGATAAGTCTTTCAATTCTCATACATCTCTCTTTTGTTCACCTAATTTTTGTTCTTTATTGTTCACGTTCGAGTTCCACTTACGAGTTTTGATGCAATTCACTTAACAATGGTCCCATGATTTCACGCGCGAAACTTACGGCAGTATCTGTATTATTAATTACCGTCGTTTAAGACAATCTTTCGTTACTGCAACACAGAAGAGAAGCATATACGCGATTTTACGGTTTTTCATGTGAAAAAAAAAAAGAGAAAAAAAGAAAAGAAGCAGTTTCTCGACGAATTTCACGGGGGTTGTTTGAATTAAACGATGCATCCGAATGTAACACATCGATTCTCGATATGCACCCTCGAAATTTGAAAGTAACCAACAAATATCTACCCTCTTGGCAGGCAATTGTGCATGCGAGAAATTCAGAAGGATTCTGAGCTTAATAGAAGGATTCTAAAGTATAAAGAATAGAGTAGGCAAGTGTAGGTAGTCACCTACTTTATATGTACTCGTATCTATATTATACATATATGGGATGTTCTACGGAAATCGATATACACTGGAAGATAGCTATTTTTGGTGCTAGCTGATTAACACGAGGAACACATTCTCCATCCCACTTCGCTGGCAGCGAGTTCGCAAAAACGTGTTCGGGACAAAATTTCACGTTCACGTTCCTGGAAAAACACGATTCCTCGCCAGATTCTTTGTACCCGGAACATCGGAGTCCAGACGAAAAACAAATCGTTAAGATAACGAAGAAAAAGTAAAAGAAAACAAAGCACGAAGAAAATGAAAAGGCGCGGAACTTTGGTCGTTTCTTCGTGTTTAATGAATATTGAAGCAGGAAAACAACGGTTAGGTATTTCTATACTCTAATACACCTGACGTGGTCGTTGCATCTTTTATAAACGCAGAAAGTTCGTTCGTGAATTACAAACGAGATTCTCCGCTAAACGAACAGATGTTTACCTTGAACAGTTCACGCCGCGACATATGTACACACGGGTGTATCTCTAAAGAAATGCATGAAACACGACGTTGAACTATAATCGCTGGACGGGCGCGAATCGTGGTTTGCGTTTGAACGACACGATCCACTGTTTCCGAAAAATCGTTCACCTGTAACCTTATGAATCTACAACTGTCGCGGAGGTACAGTAGCGAAGACAAAAAGGAAAAATGGAGAAAAAAAAAAAGGTAACTCGTTCTTATGACGTGTCTCGTTTTGTTTCGTTCTTTGAAGAGAAACACAGGGTTGTATTTGAGGGAGGCGTTCGTTGAGAGAGAGGCGTCTCGATTTCCATCGAACACCCGATATAAAAACTGGCGCGTAAAAGAGTCGCTTGCTTCGTTTCAACGGGACACTGTATAACAAGTTGCTTGCTTAGTAAGTGAATGAATAAAAACCCGTACGGCTCACTCTGTGCTGTGAGTGCTGAGAGTGTTTCGCACCTTGCGAGGCGTTCGGCGAATGGGCGCGTAAGGAGGCCATCGAGGGTTGCCTCGAGGGAACCCGTACGCTCGCCCTTGAACCACGTCTTTCTTGCGGGTGCAAGAGTTTGTTCTCCCTCAGTAATGAGACGTTCATCAGACGGGCGTTTGGTGTGTTGAAGATGGTACGGTTCTCGCGCCAGCGAGCCCTGAAACAGCAATCGGACGTCTCGAATCGTGCAAATCCAAGGCGAACGTATGGAGAACTTGACGCTAGATCTAGCAGTCGGGTGGAAATGACCCGTAAGCGATTTTTCCAAAAGTGAATGTTTATGTAACTCAAACGTGATTGGAAAGTTAGTTAATACATTAGTTTTTGGTAAGTTGTCAATGGGTGATTTTTGACCCGGCCGGTAGTTCTACTGTTAATTGATCACACGACAGTTTTTCGACCAGACTTTTTCGGTTACAGAGTTCTGCGACGGTCGTTTTGGAACATTACAGAAGCAGGAGAGATTCTTTGTACAATTTGCGTCGCGATAACGGTAACTCGGCGATAGCAATTACTTCGCGGTGGAAATTATGCGCGTCGTAGGCGCGAAACGGGTGAAAAAACATTAAATGTACATTAGGCATGCGACACCGGAGGTCCATTTTCTGGCGTGATTGCCCCCGAGTGAAGTAGGTCATAAAGTCTCGTTAGGAGAATTGGTAAAGTCGAGTGTCACCGTGGCGAGATACGCAAATAGATGGCTTACTTGCTGAAAAGCCTAAGGACCACGCAGAGGATGATGAACATGAGCGCCATACCAACGAGGACACCGATCATCGTCGGGTCGATATATTGGAGATTCGGTTCCTCTTTCTGCTCGGCTGAAAGAAACAACGAGAAAATTCGTATTTCACCGGCTTGATAACCCTTTTCTCTCGCGATAACGTCCCGAATATTTTCAATTGAACGTCGTTTAATCTTCTTAACGACGCTTGATCGTAAAACCGTAACCATTTATTTCAACGAAACTCGACAAAGTGAAATCGAAGTGTATGGATCGACACAGAGGAGAGTTACTACGACAAAGTCTCCAACAAACTCCTCAACCCTTTCACGGTTCATAAAAGTTATCAGGATCGAGTGAGACGTATCTATTCATAAGGTAAAGTTAGACACTCTTGACACGGTCTCGTACATCTTTCACCCTCCAGGAAGTAACTATCAAGACCTCGATTACGCAATAATAGAGATAGATATCTCGTATCAATATATACATATTTCACCGTGAAATTGAACAACGTGCAACGAATACGTTTCGTCGAATTTACACAGTGTCAAGAGTGAGAGAGAGAGAGAAAAAAAAGGAGCGTGAAGAATAGGTCGCGGCAAGGATGCTGCTTTTTAATTTCTCTACCATCGGAAGCGTCGGTGTTCGCTTGCCGGCGCGCGTTAATTGATCGCGCGGGAACAGCTGACGAATTAATGAACTCCGCGAGATTTTAGGCCGGAATTCCATTAACTCGGCACCGTTGCTTGTCATCGCGGCACGGGAATCTCATTAAAAAGTGCAGCGAAACTCCGTGGCTGGCTGTTTCGCCGAGCTCTCTTCTCATCTTACCGACGCACACAATCACCCCGTCAGCCTGTGTAACCGGGATCTTCTCGAAGATGCAAATGCAACGTCCATCCCTGCACTCCGTTTGGCTCACCCTCGCCTCGCATTGCTCGTGAAAGAAGCACGACTCGTTCACGTTCGCCGCTGCAAACACAAAACCATTAAGCTACAAAACAGAGCTCTCCCCTTCCGCGGTCGGTATGGCAAATTTTTTCCAACGAAATGTTCAAACTCCCGAGCGTTT